TCGTGGCCGTGCGAGCCCGTGCCTGCCTTTTCCGCAGGCCGGCGCTGGTTGGCGTGGGCGAGCAGTCGCCGCCGCGGGCTGCGCCGCCGCGCCTTCCCTCTCCCCCGCGCTCCTTTTGTTCTCGCCCGGGCCGCGTCCTGCTCCGCTCTCTTCTCCCGTGGGCTCCCGTGCCGCGTCCGGCGCTCCTTCGCTCCGGCTTTCGCGCGCGGCCGAGCTTGCCCCCCCCGCCCGCGACCTATGGGCTCCGCGTACTGGCGGTGATGCGGCCGACGGCTATTTGAAAGTTCCTATCTGATCACTTTCTCCGGCTTACGGCCACGCGCTCCCCCCTGGTATGTAATCAAAACATATGGCAAAAAAACGAGCCAAGCGTCACAGCTTTTGGATCTACAGAAGAGAAGAAGCCGAAGGAGTCTAAAAGATGACAGAAGCTGCACCAGAGAGACACTTTTAAGTGGCCGGCTGTCACCGGCGTTAGGGCTCGAGCTTGATCAGTCAGGCACAGAGCAGCGCGCCCTGCACCCGAAGTGCGGAAGCCCTGAAGACGCGTTCAAAACGGCCCACATCGCGGCGGCGATACCGTGCTGTCTGTATTAGTAAAGAGTATTTATAGCAATTGAGTTGCAATCCCGTGCTGCTGGCCAGTCACAGGAGCGTGCATCGTGCCATATCGTTAGCTCGCAGGAATGTGCTCTGGCAAATAGGGCTCCCTAAGCAGAATGGTAATGTCGAACACGGCCACAGCAGTCTCCTCTATTACAATCAAGACCTGTAACGGTGTGAAAGACCTATTGCTTTTAAATAATGGTCGGAATGTGCTGTGAGCTGTCTGATTACGTAGGGAACAGCACATTCCTAACTAAAATCGTTCAACTCATAAAGTAACATGACTTATATTATCTTATATCTCTTCTATTCATAATATCATAAAATCATACAGTATGTTCGAAAGGGAGCGAGAAGGAGCAAACACACAAATATACAAAGTATACTAGCAACTATAAAGCAACGATTGATACAAGTAAAAGTATGAGCATAACACAGTCATCGAAGTGTACTATGTAAACATTTTACATTATATGTTATGGATTATCTAATATATAAAGAACTATTACTTTATTGAATTACAAGATGTAGATATACTTTAGTTGATTAAATATTGATGCTGTTTCAAGATGCTCTAGCTCTCAAACAAAACTGAAAGTCCATGAACCTTGTCTTTCTGTAATTTGTGGAATGAAGCGCCATCTCTGGTTAAAACCTGAATTGAAATCTGGCCAACGGCCTCTTGGAAAATAGTGGGAGGCTTAACATTCCTCTATTACTGGTGTTCAGGCAGGCATGTAGGCGGAAGCCTGTAAGCGGAGTCTGAAATGAAAGTGCCTACATCTGTAATGCATGTGTGCAGGCTACGTGCGAGTCGTCTCTATTCTATTGTAGACAATTATATGTTCATAGAACAGAACATTACAGATATATCGATAGAGAGAGATAGAGAGATTTGTACCTAAACAAAACACAAGTCTAACACAAAGCGTTTAAATCAGCACTCTTAGCGATATTTTAAACTTCATGCTATCTGCACAACCTATATCATATGACAAGCTGAGAGTCCACAGATTACATTGGTATACATTTCATCCCTGTGTGATCAAAACTCACTGTTCTGTATGATAAATAAAAGAACATTGTACCTTGAAAATCTATAGCGGGTACATTTTACCCGTTGGCGGTTTTAGGTATACAGCGACCTCTGGCGGTCCTAGTGTTAAAAGTGTTCAGAAAGACTGCATCAAATATGCTATATGTATAGAATATCAATATTGTTATTAACTTCAATCAAAGTTCATTTAAATAGCGGGCAAGACTTTCCGAGGGGTAAAAATGCTGCTGCCGGACTACTGACTGGAAGTAGGCTATTGCTGTTATCATGTCTACCATATCCTCTTAAAATACTCTGTCCAACAATATCAGTCTCATGAAGAAAGGTGTTTCAACGCTGATTCAAAATAGCAGAGAAACATGCATTCTTGTTCTCAGGAGGGGACATTGACAGAGGATTACTCAAAAAGTACACAGTAACGGAAAGTCCACACAGCAGCGTGCGTTGACGCTTGGCGGTGGGCGTGTCCGCAACACGTAGCTACACTCCCCACAATGCAATTTGGCGAAGCGTGACGTCACCCCATTCAAAATGAATGGGCAGAAACGTTGAAGCTTCAACGCACGCTGCTGTGTGGACGAGCCGTAAGTACTTCATAGTACTTGTTGTGGGAGTAGTTTCACTACTAGCCTACTGAGTCCAACAGGATCGATCTCACGAAGAACTATTGGCAGAAAAAATAATAACAAACTCGAGAGACGGCTGAGCTGACCCCAGTGCAGAATCGCTGTATAGTTGAAATCTCCAAACAATGTTGTCCATTTTAGACATAGGCCTATTATATTTACAGCCCTTAATAACATTCATTTTCTGGGCTCAATATGTGTCTTGGCTGTTTTCGTTGTGAAAACAAATGGACCGTAGATACACGGATTGACCGTCCTCATCTGCGCTCTTATTTTGAAAGACAACTTCCGGTAGCAGAATATGAAAAAACTGGGCTTTTTTTGTTTCTGTTTTCTAGTGATTTTATTTTTTGTTTTGAGAAGTAAAAAATGAAAATCATCCCGTTTTTTAAGTTTAGTAAATCCATTTTTGACCATGATAAAGAAAAACGCCTTGTATTTCAATTTTGTTTTTTCAATTTGAAAACGAAAATCAAATATCCAGTCGTTTTTTGTTTTTGAATATCCTTTTGTTAAAAGAAAATCCAATGACCAAATCATACACTGACCCAAATCTTTCCATCTCTTTAAGCATGGGTTTGGTTTTCTGTTTGGTTTTCAGTTTTTCTCTGTGTTTTGTCTGATCAGTTTGTTTTTTTGTTTGTCTCATAGGTCGGGCTGAGGCCGTTGTTGTGTGATACCTTTTTAATTTTCATTATTCAAACCCCGCCCCATTTAGAGCCTCCTCTAGCTCCCTGATAGTCGCCTCTCTCCCTCTTTTTTCCTGTTTGTCCACTTCCTGTCCTTCCCTTCGTGTGCCTCGTGTGCCCTGAGTTGAGTTCAGTAGAGTGAGATTTCGATGAAATGATCAAATGTTGCGCTGTTATTCCCCCACAATGCACTCCTCTCAGCGGGGCCCTTTGAACTTCCCCGCTGGCCTCCAGGTAGTGACCGAGTCATTTGACACCTGAAGGTGAGTCAGGGGTCAGAGGTCAGAAAGGAAGCCTGTAGGAAGGTTTAGTTGGTAGATCCCAGAGCTGCTGTTACACTACAGATGAAACTTTTAGGCGAGCTGTGATTACCTTTTAAAAATCCTTTATAGATTATGTCTTTTCCATCATATGATTTACATTTAAGGAATAGTTTGACATTTTGGGAAAGTGTTTATTCGATGTCTTGCTAAGATTAAGAAGATCAATACAACGCTCATGTCTCCGCAGTAAATAAGAAATTAGAGACACTTCAAGGTTGTTTGTATGGTTTGGTCTTAGCATTAAATTACGCAATTGTCTATTTATCTGACAAAAAAAGATATATGCTGTATCATAAAACTCTGTTGACTTATTTCCCTCAAAACCAGATTCAAAACTGCCTCAACTTTGGAAACGGGTTAAAAAAAATCTTGCAACGGACAACATTATTTTTTTCATTCAGACGGTTAGAGAAGTCTTTGAAGCTTACGAAAAATAGCTTCAGAATGATGGTACTATAAGTGTTCAAATACTTTCTCCCCTTTTTAAAAGATCCCCAGGTGATTTTCTATCAGAGAAAATGGAGCCTTAGCCACGTGACTTCAGTTGAACTAAGCGCCTAATAAAGTCCTTTAGCTTAGCTTAGCTTAGCTTAGCTTAGCATAGGCCCCAGTAGAAACAAAATCGTTGTTTTTCCATTATTTTGTGCAGAATAAATGAAACATAAGATGTTAATATTGTGCTTTAGATTTCCTGTTAGGCGTATTGTGTTACCTATAGCCAGCCTAGGCTAGCTGATTTCCCCCAGATTAAGCTAAGCTAACTAGCTGTAGCTTTACATTGAGCGGCCAGGCAGGAGAGCAATATCAATCTTTTTACTAACCTGGCAAATAAAGATATTTCCCCAAATGTTCGACTATTCCTTTAAGTTTTGTCTGTTAGTTATTTTTTGTTGTTGTGTTTAAGTTGTTGAAAGTGTTTTTTTATTTATTTTTCTTACATTTGTCAGTGATGTACATAGTTTTAACTGCTTTGTCCCATTTTCAGATGGCTACGCCTTCTCTCAAGACGAGAACGGAGTGGTGTCTCAGTCTGAGGTCATCAGAGCGTACGACACCACCAAAGAGAGGACCAACGAGTGGTGAGCCGCCGGCCTCCGCTCGGCCTCTCCGGAGCCCCAGCAGCTGTTATAATGGCGATATTTACCGAGGGAAGACAAGTCGCCTCCAGCACTGAGGGAATTTTAGGAATATACGGACAGAGCGTCTTTGAAAAAGGGAAAAGAAAATAAGGAACAAAACTAATTGTGTTCACTATCAGCTGTAGTTGTGTGTCCAGCAGACATGATGAGCACTGTGCTTTCTTAGCAGTCTGTGGTCTGAAGTTCTTCACTGTTCTCGCTCAGTTTCTTGGAGTGAACGTCTCCTCTCTATTCAAAATCATCTAAAATCATGTAATTAAATCAAACACCTTAACACTGGACGATGGTTGGTTTTAGAGGATGTCAACTTGTGAAGGATTGCCAAAGAGCAGTCGTTTATACAATCTTCCAAGTACTAGTGAATTCGGACAACTTTAAACCAAATGTACTCACACTCCTGAGTGTATTCCAGCACTAAACGGACCACTTCAGAGCAGACATTGTAATATTTAACTTTTCTTTTTGCACTTAATGAAGCATCTATTGTGTAAAGCCTTACATTTGCTCATGCCTTTATCCTTGTTTCTAAAAAACACATTTGTTTCTTTTTTAGTTTCATTTTAAAAAGTATGTAGATATCGTGCCTGGTTTTATTTTGTTCCTTTTTTTTAATTTCTTTGTTAAGAAGTTGCCTCCTGCAACTCACTGTAGTCCTGTTTCCACCGTTTTAACAGCAGAAGCATTGCTCTCGACAAATAATTGCATTCCACACATCACTCCTGTCTCAACAATCACAACGGTGCCTACGTAGAACCTTTCCCCAATAGATAGCCAAGAATAGTTTAGCCAGCTAGCTTAGACCAGTGCTCCACACACTCCTACTGAAGACAAAATCACTGTCTCCCCACCACAGTATTGCACTTGTACAATGTGAAAACTACTGTGCCTTGTGGCACGTGTGTAAACTTTAAGATTTGTTCCTGCGCAGGTGAACGAGCGGGAGGCTCTCTGATGGTGTTGTTGGAGCTGGTGATAGTGTTTCCCTTAAAATGGAGATTTTATCCTTCTAACATAAGTGCCATTAGCTTAAGGGAGAGAGAAATATTAGCCAGGAACTCACGACAATATCAAAACTACTTTGTCTCTATAGTTATTTTGTGGATTTGTATTTTTATATTGGAGATGTATGAATTTTGCATCGACTGGCTTTGTAATGAACTGTCTGTAACTTTTAGTTGTTTTTCATCCTCTGATAAACTGGCAGGATAGAAAAGATCGAATGAGGAAACTGAGCTTTCTTAAATGTCTTGTTATTATTAATATTAATATTGTTACAGCGCGATTTATTTATAATTGACTACTTAACGTCTGTGTGATTGCTTTCTTCTCCCTATGGGAGATCAAATCTTATGGTGTGTGTGAGTGTGTCAGTGTATTGCCTGCATGTGCATGTGCTGTATGTGAGTGTGTGTGTGTGTGTGTGCGTGTGCGTGTGTGTGTCACCTCTACTGTGGATAACCTCTATGTATGCATTGCATGTCTGTGTCCTCTATGTGAGACCGGGAGTTTCTGGCGTCCACTGATGTTTCTTTTGTCGTGTGTGTGAGAGAATGAATGTGTGTGTGTGTGTGTGTGGCTTGCTCCAGTTGACCGTCTGCACGACTCCAGGTATAGCTATGGTGTACTACTGTGTGCTGATGCATGGCCCGTATGGGGAAGTGTGTGTGTTAGTGTGCGGTATGACTGTGTGTGCAGTCAAACTCTCGACCAGGACTGTGAGAGTTTCTGTTTCTCAGCTCGCTTCGACAGGAGATGTTACACAATGCACTCGATGTACCTTTCCAGTAGTGGACATCTGGTATTATCTGGTTTCAGTATATGATTTCTCTTGGGTGTAAATGTTTGTAACTTGTTTTCTTCATGCAGTGTACCTCTGCTTTGCAGGAAAACTCTTCAGTGAGGGTTAATGATATTTTTTCTCTGCTGGTCTTTAATGTTACAACTGAATTGGTCGTCAAAAGTTTCCAAAACGCTGAATGTGGACTGTTGCTTTCTTTCTCCAGAAAACATAAAACACACGTTGTTGTCTGTGAAAGTCGTGGGCTGCATGAATGGAAAACACAAACTGTTCTCTGAAATGTTTAACTGTTCTACTTTAATTCTCCCTCAAGTGTTGATCACTTTACAAAAGAGAAAAAAATGCACCTTTTTAACTTTACTTTTAAATATTTGTTTCTTTTTTCCGTCATTTCGTTCGATGATTGTTCTGCATGTTGGGACTGCAAACTTATAAGTGTTGTCTTTTACTGCCATGAAGGACTACTGAAATAAACTTTACAATCATGGAGGAACATCGTTGCATATTCTTCTTCTTCTTCTTCTTTGTGATGTCTCGTGTCTCTGTGTGGCAACAAACAGGACGGTAAGAAAGCTAAACAGGAAAAGGCAGGGAGAACAAGTCTGCCTGCGGGACACACATTATACCAATAGAGTCCATATTTGTTATGCTGGTGGAGTCGGTCAAGCTTTCACTAAAACACAAAGTGATCTGAATCGGGCATCCAGAATAAGAATAATTCAAAGAGACTCAAATAACAATAAAAACACCAATAATGAATTAAAATAAATCCATAATACATTGCATGTGAATTCGAGGGCTGTGTTGCCTGTCCTGGGGTTATTTCCAGCAGGTTTAATCTTAGCGTGTTTCAACACGTTGCAACATACCGTATCTTAAACCTAGATTAAATGCATCTCTTTTTAATCCATCGTGAGAAATGGGAAAACCGCCACAGAACAAAAACTATTATAGAGTGAGGGAGAGTAAATACATTTGTTGGCAATTGTTTAAAAAAGAAGATGGAAAAATGATATCAAAATTGGTTTGATTTCATGAAAATCTAAATCCGTCATTTATGATTGATTAAGTTATGAGAGGAATGTTATGGCTTTGGGTCTGTGTTTTGATGAAATATAAGAAACAGAGGGATAATCAGAACTCTAACTTGGAAAAAAAACCTGAACCTTTTTTGACTCTGGGCAAAGACATGAAAGAATACACCTATCCAAAAGATTTAGGAACTGTCATAAAACTGATTCGCAACTTGTATTATTTCCTTTCATAAGCAGAGCACGGTATGTGAGAGATGAAGACGATATGACAGCTGCGAGTATAAACAAGACTTAAAAAAGACATTACTGGAATCACTCAAGTAAGTTGTATTTTGGGATAGAAAAGCAACGTGATAGCAGCACTTGAATGTAGCTTTCAAACATCCTCAAAGTGAACAGTGTGCAGGTTTCACCACACACTGATTGCCGGGTCTATTTCACAGTCAGATAACCGGAGAACAGACCCCTCTTTGTGGAGGTTTTGCGATACCTGTTGGTGCAACCTAAACCTCTATTTCTGGGGCGAGTTGTTTTTAACACTGTGACCATGCCATGCTCATTGAACACTGACAATGACTGATCTCAGCGCTGCATTCCTGCTGTGAAGTCTGGCGCAAGAGTGAGCGACAGGTAGTGAGCTGCTCGGCCGCTCCGGTTTCCTTTCTGTTTGAGTGATGATGATGATGATGAGGCTTCGTTCAGAGAGCCAAATCTCACTTAAAAAACATTTATCAGTGCACAGAAAGTATTGAGATACAACGTTTTATTGGCTGTAAATTAGGGAATCAATATGACAACCTTGCTCTGGGAACAATGTTTGTACAAAATCATATAAAAGTACAAATTTCCCCCAAATATAAAGTCCTCTGTGTGTCCGGTCGAGGTCCTTTGCGATTGTCAAAAAAAAAAGCAATACTTCCCTGGTTTCCAACATCTACTTTAAATCATGTAGCAATGGGTCTCAGCGCCGCTTGCCTGTGAAGTGTTTCAGTTTTATGAGGAAGGTTTGTGATAACTTGGCAAGATTTGAGTCTGTGTTGTAAGCTGTCCAGCCCTTTATAAAAATAGACTGTAATGCCAGTGAGGTCTGTTTACAATATAAGATAAAAGTGCACAAGATGGGACTCCAGCCTCTAACAGGTCTGCTGATGTGTCCTGTGATGCAGAAGGGGGGAAACGCCTCAGGCCGGGCCGCTTTGTCGTACTTGATCCCCCTTGTCGGACCCTCTGTGTCCTTTTAGCCGGCCCAGGCCTTCCACCCAAACACCACCAGCTGTGTTGCAGTGTTTCTGTCCTCGCCGGCTCACATCCAACCTTCTAGAAATCTTGTAATCCCTCTGTTTGCCCCGCCGGGAGCCGTCAACTCTGTCCGAAGTCTGCAAAGCCCTTCACTGAGGAGAAGGGGTCGGGCTGCAGGGGGAAGAAGTACTGCTGCGGCAGGAGGAAGGCCTGGGCCGAGTGAGAGGACATGGAGGTCTGGTGGAGCTGCAGCTGGGTGTGGGTGAGGGTGGAGGGGAGTGGGTGCTGCATGCCCCCTGATGTGGGTGGGGACATGTAGGGGGGAGGTGGAGGTGGAGGCAGAGTCTGAGTGGGGTTGGAGGAGATGGTGGCAGACACCAAACAGCCGTGCTGCTGCCCCGGACCCCCGATAGAATACCTCCGCATGGAGCTTCCCCCCCCGGCCGAGCTGGAGCTGGTGGTGGCCGTGCTGGACTGTCTGGAGGGGGCGCGGAGGCTGGGGGGGGCGGAGGTGAGGATCATGGGGATGGTTTCCCCCTGGAAGCTACGCAGGGAGAAGCGGATTGGCTGCTGGGCCGGCTGCTTGGGCCGCAGGCAGGTGCAGCAGTAGACCGCCACCAGAGAGCCCACCACCACGAAGGCCACGAAGATGCTGCCCACCATCAGGAAGGGGACGTAGATGGGCTCTGAGGGCGGAGGAAACAGGCAGGTTAGGGTCAGTTAGGAGGAATCCTCCATGGGACTCCAAGAAGACACCACATGTAGTTATTGTTATCATTCTCTATTCACATTGCTATAGAGACACCAAAACAACACATTTATCTAAGTAGAATGTTTAACAGAAACTGAATAAATCAAATAAAAAGCATATTTTTTAACGCTTTTTCTTCTTCAAACCCCTCTTTAACATTTACAGGCTTTAGAAAATAAATCTGAAATGCTGTATGAAAAACTAAGACACATTAGGTGTTATATATTATGACAACTGTTTTCTCTTCATTGTCGTTCATCATCTGTTTCGCCTCCACTTATGGATGTCCACAAGAGGAGTTATAGTTTTCACAAACACATACACCCTTGTCTCTGCGCACAACTGCATTATAAGGCAATATAAAACAGTAACTGGTTATGTGCTGCTTATAAATCTAAAGTATTTTCCTTGTTAGTGATTGAAAACTTCAATGCTAAACATAATTGTAATAGTTAATTTCTTCAAGTCCTTCATAGTATTATTTATAAAACCTAACAGAAGTATTCCTGCTGGGATACACCAACAGCTCAAGTTACTCTTAATGAAGAACATTGCACTTTTGGAGGAAATTAGTCAATGTTGATTTATTTTCATAGGAAAAATTAGGAAATTTTGAGCACACAGTCCATTCAGTTAAAGCCCAACAGCTTATCAGTTCGGGAAATGTAAAGAAAACGTTGAGGGTTAAAGGGACCGATTATTGAAGATTTCCAAACTCACAGTGGGTTAATGTAATACTGTGAGTCTGTCAAAGAAGCCAAAGAAACTGAGCGGCTCCCTCATTGCGTTGTGATTACTTTGGTTTGCAAATCCTAAGTCAAAGTGAGTGTGTTTGGTGTTGGGCAACACAATAAGCCGGCTTGTGTGAAAAAGTTTTGAATACATTCCGGCATTGCGATTGAACTCATCTTGATGAACTTTTATGCAAATGTCTGCTTCAGATTGGTCTGGAGTTGGTTTTAAGAACACTTGTTGAGTGACTGACAGGCTGGGTCACCAGAAACTCCTCCAGGTTTACTTTTTACTCTGATAGCAATCTGCAGTGAGGTCAGGTCAAATGAAGCCACAGGAGCTCAGAGAGTTAGGTGTTGGAAACTGGACACTTCTCGTTTGAATAAAAACTTTACATGAAAACTTTAAAACACCAGTTGCGTATAAAGAAGGTTGCATAAGGAAATACTTCCCGTTTTGTTGATTGGACAATATTCTAAGGAAAGTGTAAGTTCAAACATATCTACTTTAGTTTTTCCTACAACTGATGGAGCAATTTAGCACAAATTGTTATTTTGTCCTCCAACTTTTGGCCTTTTTTGTCCGACAGAACTGACATGTGTGAGTGTCTGGTTTGAGTAAATGCACCAAATCTTAAGCAATCGGACAGCAGGGTAGTCTGACTTGTAGTCAGCTTTATGCTGTGTTTATTAATGTTTAGCTGACCTCTGACCTCTCTGTAGAAACCAACGTTCCTAAAGATCAATCAGACTAAATTAGTCATAAATTAGACTAAACATGTTCATTCATCTGTTAAGTGTATTTACATTTTAACCTCAGTCTTAAATATTTGTATTTGTGGTTTTTGCACCCATCCTAATTGAGTTCAGAACTCTATTTGTGAAGTTTTGCTCTAATGCTGAACTTTTTAAATAACCTGAGAAAGACTTGTTATTATAGTTATTCCCTTTAAATGCAGTAAACTTACGCGCTGCATACTCGGTGTTGTCCACCTCCCGGTCGTTGGTGCAGCCGCCCTGCTCCACCCGTGCGTCCGCGGCCGCGCAGCAGTACCGCAGCGAGCAGGAGCCGCAGCACACGGTGGCGTCCATGGTGTCAAAGTCCTCCGGACACTGGAAGCCATCATGATAATTCCCATTAGAGTCCAGCCAGCCGTGGCAGTACTCCCCCTGAGCGTCCGATATCCGCAGATTCCAGGTCAGATATCCCAGTAGCAGGCAGTTCAACAGGCACACCATCCCGGCGAGCCGCTGGGTTCACGGTCCCTGCTCCAGTGGGCTCACCGGGTTACACAATCTTCATTGAGACGGAGTTACTGAAAGAGAAACGCGGTGATCCACACATCCGTCATCTTTCCCCCAACAAAAGCCCTTCAAAAGTTCCCAAATTGCAATGCAAGAAAATCCTTAATTGAGTCTTCTGTTTAAGTCACTTCTTAAAAATCTCATCACTCAAAAGTGTTCTCATCCAAACATCTGCTCCGAGTTTCACTGTGCCCAACACCGAGCTGCTGCTGAGAGTGTTTGTTGATGTCGGTGCAGAAGTTGTGCACCCACCTCACAGCAGAGTTGCTGCTTTTGTGACTCTGCTCGGCTGTGTAGGCGCGCACGTAACCCCCATCAACCAGACGTGCGCATTCACGTGGTGGTGGTGGTGGTTGCAGCTATGTCGATTAAACCTACCATGAAGGTGCCCAAATAACATAATAATAACAACAATGCATGGTCTTAATAACAT